ACAAAAGACGACTCTATGCAAAATTTTGGCGATCTATCTCAATTCGTTTAGACGCTAGAGTGATTACAACAGACAGACAGACAGACGGACATGGCTATATCGTCATAGAATTTTACGCTGATCAAGAATATATATACTTTATAGGGTCGGAAATGATTATTTCGATGCGTTACAAACGGAAAAACAAAACTAATATACCCTCCATACTATGGTGGAGGGTATAAAAGAATCGAATTCCAATTTCCTGGCATGGGGAATTTTTTCCAATTCTTATATAGCCACAAAATTCCATTTCATTTCATTACTATTTTTAAAACATTGTCAAATATGATTTCCCCGCATATCATTACAAATTAAAAATAACAAACAACAACAGCAGCAACAAAAAAAAAACGTCACCCCTTAATTAGCATATTTGCTGGAGCACGTTTTTTTAAACGAAAAAGAAAAAAAAAATCCCCTCGCATCAAACCAAAACAACACTAAAATCACAGCATCCAACAGACCACAAACAAAAATTTCCAAAAACAAACTCAAAAAAACTAGTCAAACCATAAAAAATGAAGCGATTAGCCGCCAAACCATTCATCAATGAAAAAAAAATATTTTCACTACTACCAAGTGGTGGAGAGAGGGACTTACACACACAGAGCGGGGGAGAGAGAGAGAAAGAGTTTTACAACCAGTTTGTTTTTTTATTTTCAAAATTTCGTCTAACTAAATTAAACATTTTTTTGTTAGTTAACTAAGCTCGGGGTTCTAAACATGTTGTTGTTTGATTTTGTTGTTGTTGTAATTGTCGTTCGCCTCTTTTTGTTGTTGTTGTTGCTGTTGGAATTTGTAATGATTTGTTAATATCTGTAAATTGATTTGTTTGCTTTGTTTTTTTTTTTTTTTTTTTGCAAAATATTTTCAAAATAAAACAGTTAATCCTCAATTCAAGTTCATGTTCAAGTTGCAAAGCCCGCTTAATGACCTTTTCAGTCTGTCTGTCATACTTGTATGCGCTATTAGCGGTGCGAACTTATAAATAAACCGTGATTTTCCAATCAAACAAATATTTTGCTAATCGTTGACTATTTGGATGTTAATTACTTTCGACAAAAATCCCAAAAAAAAAAAAAATAATAATAATTATGAATAATGAATGGCTGAAAGGCAATATGCAATTTGCATACACTCACAGAAAAATTTTAGTAATTAGAATATGAAAAAAAAAACAAATAAGAAAAAATTAATTAAAATAATAAAAAAATAAATAAAATAATAATAATAATAAACAGACACCCCACTTCAAGACTCAATTTTGTGCCAACCTGAAGAACCTGATGCTCCATTTACAGGGTTGCCCATATTCGACGGACCCATGTTTTTTTTTTAAATCAAACAAAAAAACAAAATAAAAATTTGGCGGTTGACAATGTTAATCATTTAATTTGTTCCAATTAGATTTGTTTACATCAAGTTTTGAATATGATATCTCTCGAATGGCCGCCTCTGGCGTCGATGACGTATTGTGCCCTTTTTGCTGCATTTTCCATCGTATTTCTTCACGAATGTTGTCCTTGAGCCCTTCTACGGTCCTTGGCTTGTTAACGTAAACCTTTGACTTCAAATATCCACACAAGAAGAAGTCAGGCGGCGTCAACTCAGGCGAACGCGGTGGCCAGTCCAAAACACCACTTTTCGACATCAAACGGCCCGGAAACAAATTCTTCAGAAAATCGATTGTTAGGCGACTTGTGTGCGGTGGAGCGCCGCGGCGCGCCGTCTTGTTGAAACCAGAACTGCCTCATACGCTTTCGACGAATAATTGGCATCACAAAATTGGACATCATGTCGCGATAACGCTCCTGATTGATGGTAACATCATGGCCATTTTCATTTTGGAAGAAAAACGGCCCAATGACCGTTTTCGCACTAACGCCGCAACAAATTGTGACTTTTTCGTCATGAAGAGGCACTTTATGAATCTCCTGATGATTTTCAGTGGCGTAAAAACGGCAATTTTGCTAATTTTCGGTCCCATTCAATGTGAAATGGGTTTCATCGGACATGATAATTTTGTTCCAAAATTGCTCGTCATCTTCGGCCATTTCGATGACTCTTTGGGCCCATTCCAATCAACGAGGCTTGTCCGCAGGCAACATTCTTTGCGTCAATTGAATTTTGTACGGGAACAAATGCAAATCAATGCGAATAATCCGTTGTAAAGTGGACCGAGCCATGCCCAACTGCTGAGAACGGCGTTTTTGGGATGTTCTTGGAGACCTCTCAACACTGGCTCGTACGGCAGCGATATTCTCGGCCGATCGCCTTGGTCGACTTTTATATGGCCTCTTCGGATTAGAAAGAGCCTTACCACTCGAAAATTTTTCATATTAACGCTTAATGGTGTTCTTAGAAGGCGCACTTCTCACATTTTTTAATGTTTTAATAGCACGTTGAGTTTCCACAATTGACTTCTTCCGTTGAATGTAAATTTCAACTATTTCAGAGCGCTCGCGTGGCGTGTATTGGTTCATGGTAAAAATCTGCTTAGACTGACGCTTCAAACGTGGTATGTCATTAAGCGATGTGACATCTCTGTCAAAAGTTATGGCGTTGCCAGATGGGTCCGTTGAATATGGGCAACCCTGTATATAAAACCGGAAGAGATTCTTTATGAGAGCTATACCTAAATATGAACAGATTTTAATCAAACTCCAAGACTGAGGACCGATATATCCCATTTGCAATACCATACCTCCTAGGAGTACTAGCAATGTCTGTGTGAAATTTCAGAGCTCTATATTAAATATTGCGATCTCTATCGTGATTTTAACAGATGGACATGCGTCAATCGACATGGAATTTTATTCTATCGTGGAGGGTATAAAAATCTACGATTATAGCAGACACTTCAGACGCACATGATGCCGAAAAAAAATATTTTTATAAAATACACGCTTTTAGATGGCCCCGAAAAAAACCATTAAAATTTATTTTTAAAAAATCCAAGTTTATAGCTGGTCCCTAAAATAATATTAAAAATCCGTAAGAAAAGTAGTAAAGTCGGACTGGGCCGACTACATGATACTCTTCACCACTTTGGGTATCTTCTACACATGTATCCTAACAATTTCATGTCAATGTTCCCTGCAAAGGAGCATACTCATTTCTTTCTGCAACCTCTGATAAATTTAATTTCATTCGGGCAGATTTAGAGTCGTCTGCGTGCCATGGGACAAATTTATGGAAAACGATTTATAGCATAATTGATACAAGCTATTCGGTACTCCGTACTGTTAAAAATTTGATTTCAATCAGACACCCGTTCGAAATACATATGGAAGCTATGGCTGCGTCTGCACCAATTTCAACAAAACGCAATAACGTCATTCAATTTTCAATTTGATACGTTGCACAAAATTTCGTGTTAATCGGACAAACATTAGGAGTTTGGTGCACCATTTGGGTAACAACGGACGATGTGGGAGCTGTATCGAAATCTGAACCGATTTTTACGAAATTAAAAAACACATATTTCAAGACTTAATTCAGTACTATATGAGAAATTTCGTGCAAATCGAAAGATATATAGGGACTTTGGTGCACCATTTACCTAAAATCGGACGAAAATATATATGGGAGCTATATCCAAATTTGAACCGATTTTCATGAAATTTTACACGCATCATTCTAGACTTGCCAAATTTCGTGGAAATCGAAATAAATATAGGGACTTTGGTGCACCATTTACCTTAAGTCGAAAGAAAATATATATGGGAGCTATATCGAAATCTGAACCGATTTTCACGAAACTTAACACACATCATTCTAGGCATAACTCAGTACGATATGCCAAATTTCGTGCCAATCAAAGGATATACAGCGACTTTGGTACACTATTTTCCTAAAATCGGACGAAAATATATATGGGAACCATAACTAAATCTAAACCGATTATCACGAAACTTAGCACACATCATTTTATACCTAATTCATTACCCAATTTTTGGGTAAATATTCAAAATAGGGGTACCTTTGTATGGGGGCTACCAGTAGACGTGCACCTACATACATAAAACTTTGCATGGACATTTGGTACCCAAAAAGAACACTCTGTGCCAAATTACAGCCAATTTGGTTGTAAAATGTGTCTAATAGGCAAAAAATACCTTAAATCGGGAGATACGGTTATATGGGGGCTATATCAAAACTTGGACCCAGGGACCCCATGTTGGATTTCTATATTTGCTTTGTCATTAGAAACATGTGTGCAAAATTTTGGCCGCCTATGTCAAGTTATGGCCCGAACGTCAAGAATTCTTACATGGAGAAGGGGTTCGGGCCAAAAGAATAAGCATGCCTGTTTTGATAAAGATCAGTTAATATTTAGCGGGTTAAAGAGACCCTGATATTTGTGTGTAAAATTACAAAATGTGTATTATATAGCATATAGATTTACCCCTGAAGGACATAGACCCGAAAAGTTGATAGTATATCCAAGAGGAGTGGTTGACCTTTAAATTGATACCAATTATATTGTCGTATGTACTCGGTTGTGGGAGTTACAATTAAATATTTACAGGTTCTTACGTATTCAGATATTATTTAGTAACCCATTAGCACACTAGAGGGTGGAAATATAGTTCTGATCACTTTGAATTGTTCCATGAAGTTCCAGTTATGGTCAAGGACAACGCCTATAATAATTTTGGGATGAAGTGAACCGAAAACTTTATTTTTTTGTGTTTTTTTCGACTCGATCTATAGGCCACAATTATGAGCAGAATATCACAACACACCCCACTGTGAAGGGAAGGGCTTTACTGAATATTAGTAATATTTGTTGACCTCTAGTTGGTCAAGATGGTTCAAATATTGCAAAATATTGCCCAAGCTCAGAATATAGAATGTAGGGTATCATATAGTCGGCCCCGTCCGACTACACTGATCCGCTCATTGTTTTTTTATATTTTTTAATCATTTCTATTTTTCCCATTCCCACTTTCCAGCTGCAATTTTCCCTTTGATCGTGATGCTATTCGCTGGCGGTTGGAGTGATCGTTATAATAAACGCAAGGCCTGTATGGTTTTTCCGATAATCGGTGAAAGTTTGATGTTTTTGTGTAAGTATATGCACCCACAGAAAATAAAAAAAAATAAATTAAAAATTCCCCTTTGCAGGTCTACTGGTATCGGCAATATTTTTCGATAAAATCCCCATGGAATTTGGAGCATATAGTGAGGCAATTGTTCCAGCGTTGTTTGGAGGACAAACTCTATGTTTGATGGCCATTGATAGTTATATGACAATATCGACACCGGAAGCTGATCGTATATTTAGGTAAGTTATAAAAGAAATTGTACTGCTAATATGGGGTGGAGAAATGTTGGGCGCCATTTAATCATCTCTAAGTTCTACAAAGGAATAGTGTCTAATTCTCTAATAGGAGAAATATTCTTTAAAAATCCGCGCTTTGTTGGTTCTTTACAAAATTATTCTTTAAAAAATCCCCGCTCTTTTGGCCCTCGGAAAATATTCCTTAAAAATCCCCGTTCTGTTGGTCCTTGGAAAATATTCCTTAAAAATCCCCGTTCTGTTGGTCCTTGGAAAAAATATTCTTTATAAAATCCACGCCTTGTTGGTTCTTGGAAAAATATTCCTTATAAAATCCACGCCTTGTTGGTCCTTGGAAAAATGTTCCTTATAAAAAAAAATATAAAATCCACGCCTTGTTGGTCCTTGGAAAAATGTTCCTTATAAAATCCACGCCTTGCTGATCCTTGGAAAAATATTCCTTATAAAATCCACGCCTTGTTGGTCCTTGGAAAAATGTTCCTTATAAAATCCACGCCTTGTTGGTCCTTGGAAAAATGTTCCTTATAAAATCCACGCCTTGTTGATCCTTGGGAAAATATTTCTTATAAAATCCACGCCTTGTTGGTCCTTGGAAAAATATTCCTTATAAAATCCACGCCTTGTTGGTCCTTGGAAAAATATTCCTTATAAAATCCACGCCTTGCTGGTCCTTGGAGAAATATTCCTTATTAAGTCCACACCTTGTTGGTCCTTGGAAAAATATTCCTTATAAAATCCACGCCTTGTGGGTCCTTGGAAAAATATTCCTTATAAAATCCACGCCTTGTTGGTCCTTGGAAAAATATTCCTTATAAAATCCACGCATTGTTGGTCCTTGGAAAAATATTCCTTATAAAATCCATGCCTTGTTGGTCCTTGGAAAAATATTCCTTATAAAATCCACGCCTTGTTGGTCCTTGGAAAAATATTCCTTATAAAATCCATGCCTTGTTGGTCCTTGGAAAAATATTCCTTATAAAATCCATGCTTAGAAAAATATTCCTTATAAAATCCACGCCTTGTTGATCCTTGGAAAAATATTCCTTATAAAATCCACGCCTTGCTGGTCCTTGGAAAAATATTCCTTATAAAATCCACGCCTTTTTGGTCCTTGGAAAAATATTCCTTATTAATCCACGCCTTGTTGGTGCTTGGAAAAAATATTGTTTATAAAATCCATGCCTTGTTGGTCCTTGGAAAAATATTCTTTATAAAATCCGCGCCTTGTTGTTCCTTGGAAAATTATTCCTTATAAAATCCACTTCTTGTTAGACCTTTGGACTAAGGCGCATGTTTTTTATTAATTATAATTTTGTTTTCCTTTTTTAGATTCGGTATTTTTGCCATGTTCACGACCGGCTTACCCTTTATTGGTCAGCCCATAAGTGGGGTACTCTTCAATTATCTAGGCTATACATGTAAGTACTGAGCAGCACAATATTTTTATTTATTTTTTATTAAATATTTGTCTTTTTGTTTCCTCCACCAGGGTCCTTTACCATGGCCTTCTCATTCAACATCATTGCCCTACTCTATGTCATCTTCATAATCAAAGAACTCAAGCCATTGGCAACGAAGACGGACACCACAGATGCCACGCAAAAATCGGGCACTGAAAATCCCGCTTATGAAGTGACACAACTAGAAGATCTACCCACAGCACCAAGACACAACAACAATGGCATTGATACCGTAGACAAATCTCCAACCTCTAGACCCGCAAAACGTAATGCCCTATTGGACTTCTTTGACCCAACATTGGTTGTGGATTATGTGAAATTTCCATTGAAAAAACGTCCAAATCGTGGTCGTATGCTGTTGATATTTTTAATTATGGCCTATATGTTTACCATTGGTCCGGCTCTGGGAGAGAATGATTTTTGGAATCGTTTTACATTTAGAAAACTAAATTGGAATGGCAATGATTATAGTGTGTACTCCACATTTAATTCGGCCTTGGCTGTGGCGGGTAAGTTGGGAATGTAAGAGTGAGAGAGGAAATTTTCATTTAATTTTTTTTTTTTTTATTTTAGGCACCTTTATAGGAACTGCCATTCTGAGTAAATTGCTGAAACTTTCCGATTCCTTGGTGGGTTTTGTATCCGCCCTGACAACAGCCTTGTCGAGAGTGCTTTTTGTAAGTATCGGGGACATTTTCAAGGAATCAATGGTATAAGCTTGAATTTTTATATACAATAGTTTTTGGTGGATCCTTTAGAGAATATTTTCTCAAGGTCCTAGAGGCTGTAGATTTTTTAAAGAATATTTTCCAAGGTCCTACTTGGCGTAGATTTTTAATGAATATTTTTAAGGTACTACAAGGCGTGGCGAGGCTTGGTTTTTAAAAAAAATATTTTTTTAAGGTCCATCGGTTTCGTGGATTTCGTTAAGAATATTTTTTCAAGGATCAACAAGGCGTAGATTTTTTAATGAATATTTTTTCAAGGATCAACAAGGCGTAGATTTTTTAATGAATATTTTTTCAAGGATCAACAAGGCGTAGATTTTTTAAGAAATATTTTTTCAAGGATCAACAAGGCGTAGATTTTTTAAGAAATATTTTTTCAAGGATCAACAAGGCGTAGATTTTTTAAGAAATATTTTTTCAAGGATCAACAAGGCGTAGATTTTTTAAAGCATATTTTTTGGGAAGACCAACAAGGCGTAGATTTTTTAAAGCATATTTTTTGGGAAGACCAACAAGGCGTAGATTTTTTAAAGCATATTTTTTGGGAAGACCAACAAGGCGTAGATTTTTTAATGAATATTTTTTCAAGGATCAACAAGGCGTAGATTTTTTAATGAATATTTTTTCAAGGATCAACAAGGCGTAGATTTTTTAATGAATATTTTTTCAAGGATCAACAAGGCGTAGATTTTTTAATGAATATTTTTTCAAGGATCTAAAGAATATTTTTTTTTTGGATATTTTTAAAAATTATTTTTAGGGCATAACTCAAGTCGTGGATTTTTTAAAAATTATTTTTAGGACATAACTCAAGGCGTGGATTTTTGAACAATTATTTTTAGGGCATAACTCAAGGCGTGCATTTTTGAACAATTATTTTTAGGGCATAACTCAAGGCGTGGATTTTTTATCATTAAAGAATATTTTTTCAAGGACCATCAGAGGCGTAGATTTTTTACAACAAATTGAAGTCGATATATTTATACCCTTCGCCACACTGTGGTACAGGGTATTATGTCTTTGTGCATATGTTTGTAACAGGCAAAAGGAAACGAGATAGACACATGGTTCCTTTTGAGTATATGCATTTAATCACTTTCTAAGTTGATTTATGCACGTCCGTCTGACCGTCCGTCTGTTTATCCGTCAGTCCATGTTAAATTGTAAACAAAGTACAGGTCGCATTTATGATCCGATTTGGATGAAATTTTGCACAAGTCACTTATTTGGCCCCAGGGACGAACCCTATTGAAACTGAAGAAAATCGGGTCAGATTTAGATATAGCTCTCATATCTTCTTTCGTCCGATTTAAAATAAATGGTGTACCAAAGTCCCTACATATCTTTCGATTTGCACGAAATTTGGCACAGCGTAATGAATTAGGTCCAGAATGATGTATGTCAAGTTTCATCAAAATCGGTGAAGATTTAGATATAGTTCTCATATATATTTTCGTCCGATTTAAGGTAAATGGAAAACCAATGTCGCTATAAATCTTTCGATTTGCACGAAATTTGCATAGGGTACTGAATTAAATCTAGTATGACGTGTGTTAAATTTCGTGAAAATCGGTTCAGATTCAGCTCCCATATATACTTTCGTCCGATTTTATTTAAATGATGCACCAATGTCCCTATATATAATTAGATTTGAACGAAATTTGGCATAGCGTACTGAATTAAGTCTAGAATGATGTGTGCAAAGTTTCGTGAAAATAGGTTCAGACTTAGATCTAACTCCCATATATATTTTCGTCCGATTAAAGGTAAATAGCGCACCAAAGTCCCAATGTATCCTTCGATTTGCACGAAATTTGGCATAGCGTACTGAATTGGGGATAGAATGATGAGTGCTGAGTTTCGGAAAAATCGGTTCAGATTTAGATATAGCTCCCATGTATATTTTCGTCCGATTTTATGTAAATGGTGCATGGAAGTCCCTATATATCCTTCGATTTGCTCGAAATTTGGCATAACGTACTGAATTAGGTCTACAATGATGTGTGTTAAGTTTCAAGAAAATCGGTTCAGATTTAGATATAGCTCCCATATTTATTTTCGTCCGATTTTAGATTAATAATGCAACAAAGTCCCTATATGTCCTTCGATGTGCACGAAATTTGGCACAGCGTACTGAATCAAGGCTAGATCGATGTGTTTTAAATTTCGTAGAAATCGGTACAGATTTAGATATAGCTCCCATATATATTTTCATCCGATTTAAGGTAAATGGTGCACCAAAGTCCCTATATATTCTTCGATTTGGTCGAAATTTGGCACAGTGTACTGCATTGAGTCTAGAATGATGCGTGCAAAGTTTCGTGAAAATCGTTCCAGATTTAGATATAGCTCTCATATATTTCGTCCGTGAAAATCGGTTCAATGAAATAAAATTTAGCATAGGTTCCAGAAATCCGTAAAGATCTTATATTCAAGTTCGTGCAATTTGATATATGTAGAATATACCCAAAGTGGTGAAGGGTATCATATAGCCGGCCCAGTCCGACTTTACTACTTTCCTTACTGTGTTTTTTTTTCTCTTTCAGGCCTTTTCCAGTGACACAGCCACATTTTATGCCGGTGGTGTGGCCGACAGTTTTGCCACCTTGCGTGTTATTGCCATTAAGACAATCGGTTCGAGTATTGTGGATGGCGAAGAGCTGAGTAAATAGCACCTTCAAAAACTTAATATAAATTTTCGGCAGAATAAAAATCTAATCCTCTTCTTCGTACCTTCTATTTTCTAGGTAAAATGTTCTCCCTCTTCAGTATCTGTCAGCCATTGGCCCAATTGATTTTCATACCCATCTATAGTGATATTTATGAAACTACTGTGGACTCCTTTCCGGGGGCAATTTTCCTATTCAGCGAAGTGTTTGCGATACCCAATATCATTGTCTTTATGTCAGTATATTTAATTAAGACTTTGAAATTTCGTGAAGTGCAAAAATTGGCTAAATGAAATAATTTCGAATTTTTTTTACTTTTTTCTTTCTCTTTCTTTCGTTTTCTTTTTCTCCCTATGTTTTCTTTGTGAAATTGGGGTTTTCATTTTCCACTGACCTTGTCTTTGAAATTCGGAAACAGTATTTGTTATGTTGTTGTCAGACGCCGCAAATCTCAAATGAAAGCCGACACTGCTGCCAAAGTGGAAAATGGCCATCAAAATGGTAATAATGCTGCCATACAAAACGGAGATTCCGAAATAACTAGTCTGTAGATGTATGTGTATATGTAAGAGAGTAAATATCAAAATTTTTGTAAATATTTTTTATTTGTAATTTTTTTTAAATAAAATTTATTTTTATATTCTGAACAAAAAACATTTTAAAGTCTTTTCAGGACATTTCCAAAATCTAACATCAATCCTGAAGTTCCTGTTTTATTTTTGTCCCCAGATTTTTTTTTTAAATCAAAGCTGTCAAACAATTTAATGTTGAAATTTTTGCTTTGAACTTGAATTTCAAGAATTCCTCCATGGGTGGGTAGAAAAAAAAATGAAATTTTCTTAACCCTTTGACTTGTTTTACCTCAATTTACTAATTAAAAATTATATCGTGGCAAAAAGCACAACGGCCACAACTCACATCACTTGAATAACATTATGTTTCACAATTTGTTTTTTTTTTTCAATTTTTAACGAATTAATTACGTCTGGTTAAAGTTGCTGATGCGTAAAACTCACACACTCACACACACTTAGTAAGCGACGCATTCGGGCGCCATTTCTGTTTTCTAATTAACAATTTTAACCCAGAAAAAAACTGAAGCTGTAAATGTAAAACGAGTTAATTTTCCTTATGTTGCAGTGCAACCGGAGGCAGAACGGCAAGAAATAAGACCAGATTGTTAACAACGTGCGAATCAGTCATGCAAGCCATGCTGTAAAAGTGCATAAGAAATTTTATGCAAAGTAGATTAGTAGTTTGATGATGAAATGGTAAATAAAATTCTGATGAAAATGATGTGATGAATTGCAAGTAATAATTTAGGTGCGGGAGAAAAGGGCAGAGTCGACTTCAATGTACTCTACTATACAACGAAACCAGTAAAGTTGGACTGGGCCGACTATACATATGATACCCTTCACCACGAAATTCGACACACAACTTTCTAGACTCAATTCAGTACGCTATGCCAAATTTTGTGGAAATCGAAATATATATAGGGGCTTTGGTACACCATTTATATAAAATCTAAATCTGAACCGATTTTCACGAAACTTAACACACATCATTCTAGACCCAATTCCGTACGCTATGCCCAATTTCGTGCAAATCGATGTATATATAGAGACTTTGGTACACCATTTACCTTAAATCGGACGAAAATATATATGGGAGCTACATCCAAATCTGAACCGATTTTCAGGAAACTTAACACACATCATTCTACTCTTAATTCAGTACGCTATGCCAAATTTCGTGCATATCGGAAGATATACAAGTACTTTGGTGCACCATTTACCCAAAATCGGACGAAAATATATATGGGAGCTATATCCAAATCTAATCCGATTTTCACGAAACTTAACACACATCACTCTAGACTTTATTTAGTACCCTAGGCCAAATTTCATGCAAATCGGAGGAGATATAGGTACTTTGGTGCACCATTTACCTAAAATCGGACGAAAATATATACGGGAGCTATATCGAAATCTGAAGCGATTTTCACGAACGACACACCACTTTCTAGACTTAATTCAGTATGCTATGCCAAATTTCGTGCAAATCGGAAGATATCTAGGTACTTTGGTACACCATTTACATAAAGTCGGACGAAAATATATATATTGGAGCTATATCTAAATCTGAACCGATTTTCATGAAACGCGACAAACAACTTCCTAGACTTAATTCAGTACGATATGCCAAATTTCGTGCAAATCGAATGATATATAGGGACTTTGGTGTACCATTTACATAAAATCGGACAAAACTATATATGGGAGCTTTATCTAAATCTGGACCGATTTTCAGAAAACTTAACACACATCATTCTAGAACTAATTCATTGCGCTGTGCTAAATTTCGTGCAAGTCAAAAGATATTTAGTGACTTTGGTGCACAATTTACATAAAATCGGATGAAAATATATAAGTGGGAGCTATATCTAAATCTGAACCGATTAGCAGGAAACTTAACACACATCATTCTAGACATACGCTGTGCTAAATTTCGTGCAAATCGGAAGATATATAGGGACTTTGGTGCACTATTTACCTAAAATCGGACGAAAATATATATGGGAGCTATATCTAAATCTGAACCGATTTTCACGAAACTTAACGCATATCATTCTAGACTTAATTCAGTACGTTATGCCAAATTTCGTGCAAATCGGAAGATATATGGGTACCTTGGTGCACCATTTACCTAAAATCGGACGAAAATATATATGGGAGCTATATCGAAATCTGAAGCGATTTTCACGAAATTCGACACACAACTTTCTAGATTTCATTGTGTGATATACAAAATTTAGTGCAAATCGGAAGATATGTAGGGACGTTGGTGCCCCATTTATTTTAAATCGGACAAAACTATATATGGGAGCTATATCCAAATCTGATCCGATTTTCACGAAACTTAACACACATCAGACTTCATTTAGTACCCTAGGCCAAATTTCATGCAAATCGGAGGAGATATATGTACTTTGGTGCACCATTTACCTAAAATCGGACGAAAATATATACGGGAGCTATATCGAAATCTGAAGCGAATTTCACGAAATTCGACACACAACTTTCTGGACTTAATTCAGTACGCTATGCCAAATTTCGTGCAAATCGAAATATATACAAGGACTTTAGTACACCATTTACATTAAATCGGGTTAAACTATATATGGGAGCTATATCTAAATCTGAACCGATTTTAACGAAACTTTGCACACATCATTCTAGACTCAATTCAGTACGCTATGCCAAAATTCAGGCAAATGAAAAGATTTCCAGGGACTTTGGTGCACCCTTTACCTTAAATCGGGCGAAGCTATATATGGGAGCTATATCTAAATTTGGACCGATTTCCACGAAACTTAACTCACATCATTCTAGACCTAATTCATTACGCTGTGCCAAATTTCTTGCAAATCGGAGGATATATAGGGATTTTGGTGCACTATTTCCCTAAGATCGGATTGGAGCTATATCTAAATCTGAACCGATTTTTCCCAATTTCAATAGGGTTCGTCCTTGGGTTAAATAGGTGACTTGTTTCAAATTTCATCCAAATCGGATCATAAATGCGACCTGTATTTTGTTTACAATTTAACATCTACAGACGGACGGACAGACATGCATAAATCGACTCAGAAAGTGATTCTATGCATATTCTCAAATAGAACCATGTGCCTATCTCGTTTCCTTTTGCCTGTTACAAACATATGCACAAAGACATAATACCCTGTACCACGGTGTGGTATAAAAATCCACAGTAGGCGTGGATCCCTTGCACAAAAAAGGAAACAAGACGATATGTGCCAACTATAGAGGAATAAGTCTCCTTCCCATCGCATATTAAGTGCTATCCAGTGTGCTGTGTGGACGACTGAAGCTAATGGTTAATGACATTATTGGACCATACCAATGCGGCTTCAGACCTGGCAAATCCACCATTGACCAGATTTTCCCTCTGCACCAAATGCTGGAAAAGGCCCACGAAAAACAAATCGACACATACCACCTATTCGTCGACTATAAAGCCGCATTCGACAGCCCTATCCGTTCAGAAGTGTTCAAAGCTATGTCTGCGTTTGGCATTCCTGCAAAATTAATACGCCTATGCAGGATAACATTAAGTGACACAATGTCAGCAGTTAAAGTCGGAAAGGACCTATCTGACCCATTTAATACCGAACGGGGATTCAGACAAGGTGACAGTTTGTCGTGTGATCTTTTTAATATCCTGCTGGAAAAGGTCATACGAAATGCTAAGGTGAACAGAAATGACACTCTGTAGACCAAACAGCATATATTATTCGCCTACGCCGATGACATCGATATAATGGGTCGAACATTGCGTACGTTAACAGCCACCTTTGAACAAATTGAGAAGGAGTATGTCAAATTGGGTCTGGCAGTAAACGGCGTGAAGACCAAGCTGATGGTATCAACGCGCAAGACGTGGAACATGAGAACTACAGCTTCGAGGTAGTTAAGGATTTTATATACCTTGGTACCGCCATAAATAAAACGAATGACATCAGTTTTGAAATTCGGAGAAGGATAGTGATCGCCACAGATGCTACTATGGTCTAAGTAAGCAGTTTAGTAAGCGATGGCTTGGCCATGTTGTGCGAATGAATGAGAATGCCCCAGCTCAAAAGGCATATAAAAGCGAGCCTACTTATGCTTCCCGTAGAAGGGAAAGGTCACGAATGAGATGGAAAGACCAAGTAGAAAACAACATCTTGGAACGTGGTCTTTCAAATTGGCGGAGATGCGCACAAGACCGACGCGCTTGGAAATCTTTTTTAAGCTCGGCTTATGGAAAAACCGCTCTTTAACAAGCCAGCTATGTAAGTAAGTATCCACGCCTAAGGTTCCGTAGGAAAAATATTTTTAAACAAGTGAAAATGCGTTAAGTTCGGCCGGGCCGAACATTGGATACCCTCCACCATAAATATACTGACAGGTATTTGAAATGAAAATAGAGGGAAAAAACCTAAAAGTGGACTCATATCGACATTTCTACAAACGGATTATGTAAACCGTGACACAACTTTCAGAAAATTTTAATGGATAATTATACCCTCAGCCATATGGCTAATGGGGGTGTATACACTTTGACACGGTGAAAATCAGCCTCATCGAAATATTGGTTCTAGAACCCATGTTTCTTTGGACCAAATTTGTTTCAGAAAATGTAGATTTCATCCAAACTTTGCCCATCTTATTATTTCTTTCAAACTTAGTTCAAGTTCGATGATGAGGAATATCGGTCCACTCCATCGGGTAACTCCCACAGAGGGACTAGGACTAAATGCAGGTTATATTTCATATATAGTTCATTATCGAGCCTTACGTTCTATTTTTTTTTATCTCGATATCCTCCGCAGAGTATTAGAACAAATAATAGCAACAGAGTATCAGATAACTATTATATGGGGACTATATGGGGGTTATATGGGGACTAGGAGATTTGTTGGGGGCTATCCAAAAAAATTGACCTATATTCATAATTTTTGTGGAGAGATTAGGTACCTATTAGG